GGCCCTTGTCCTTTGTGCAAAGTATGTGAATTGAAATAGTAGGCACTTATTAATATTAATATATACTGTACTATAAATTAAATTTATTTTATTGTTATAACTAATAGTCAAGGATAAAATAAAAAGTTTTAAATATCAACTTTTTTTCTACTTGGTTGTTGCGCGAGGCCCCTCCAAGAGCGAGGCCCCGGGCGATTGCCCTGCTCGCCACCCCCTAAGGCCGCCACTGCCTCTTCTAGCATACGTCCTCATATTCTGACATCATCACCTTACGTTCTTTCAGATATTCATCCACTTGTTCCAAGATTTTCACGGTCTCCCCCTACTGCGCTTCCCATAATTTGTCTACACAATAAAAGATAATTTACACAAATAATCTTTTATTATTTAAAAAATGTATAAACATTTACACAATAAAAATAAAGCAGATTCCCGACCTTTCTTTTTTCAGAAATTTTTTTACTTCGGATTTGATTCTTGAAACTATATTGACATTTGTAGTTAATATTAATTAAGCAAGCTGAAATGAGTAAACCATTATATCTAAAATGGCAAGATAATTTTGGCAGAAGTTTTAACCCATGTAATGTGTGTTTGTTTATTTGGTTCTTAATGGTATTAACACTATTTGGTATAATTATGTATTTTTTGGGCCTTTTAAAAGGACTATAGCCATTTGGTTCAGTTAGTTCTTTCGACCAATGAAGATTCGTTGATGTTTGATCGTTTGTTGATTTTATTTAATTAATCGCTTTAGAGAATGTCTTTCATCTATTTTACGGTTTTATAAAAATGAAATTCGATATATAAACAGTTAAAAATACTTGTAATATTAAACTCTTCATTTTTACATGAAGTAAAAAACAAAAAATAATTAGTTTTATTACATTTTCGCTAATAATGTTATGGCGTGGTAACCAAGCAAGCCCTTAAATTCTATAGATATCTTATTCAATAATTTACATTCAGAAATTATAATACCATTTGACAATTTTTACAACTTAAATATCGTGAGAACCCTGACAATTACGTGCTCATATATTGCGGCTAAATAAGTAACGAAAGCTGCACAAAAACGGTGGATACTCATATCCTTTTAGATAAATGTGCCTTAAAATGAACAGGGCTTGAACGTCGACAACAGGCCAAATTAACCACCTATTTTAATTGTCAAGAGACGATTGTTGGAATTAGTCGTTAAAAACTTTGAAAACTTGTTTCTTTTACGTACGTGTTAGATTTTTACATTTAAAAAAAATCGTCAATACAATTGTACAATATATAAATACAATACAGTAGTCTCATATTAATTTAATATGCTGACGTCAGATGAACTTTATAAACCTGAAATCTTAACAGAAAAATCAGCTAAGTTTACTTATATTGTTTTCAGTTTCAACAAAATAATATGGAAAATAAGCGGAAATGACGTTGATATTAACTAACATCAATACATTACGTATATATTGTATTTCGGGCTAAAGATTTACGGTAATATTAATCAGTTTTCAAGTTGGTTGTGTATTAAAGTACTGTATAGGATTTCTTCTTGGACGCGAAAAATTTCGATACTAACCGATAGTTGATACATTTGATGATAATGAAAATACACTGTGTTCTTTTTGTTATAATGTTTTTATAAACTTGAATTTTAACGGCGAAATATTAAATTATATTCACATATATTTTAAGGTATTATAGTTAGTTCGCAATACATTGTTAACATTAAACAAAATAAAAAACACATTGAATATTTTAAAATGAACACAAATAACTTATGAATAGAAATGAATAAATCTTAGGCTTCCTCGGCTTCCTCTTCGTCAAACTCTCCTTCTTCTTCAGCGGTAGCTTCTTGATACTGCTGGTATTCGGAAACTAAATCGTTCATATTTGATTCGGCTTCGGTAAACTCCATCTCGTCCATTCCCTCTCCGGTATACCAATGTAAAAAGGCTTTTCTACGAAACATGGCGGTGAACTGCTCCGAGATGCGTTTGAACAGCTCTTGAATGGCCGTAGTGTTACCTATGAATGTTGCCGACATCTTTAATCCGCGAGGAGGAATGTCGCAAACGGCCGTTTTTACGTTATTCGGTATCCATTCTACAAAGTAGCTGCTATTTTTGTTCTGGACATTTAGCATTTGCTCGTCCACTTCTTTCATGCTCATCCTACCGCGAAAGATGGCTGCCACGGTCAAGTAGCGACCGTGACGAGGATCGCAAGCTGCCATCATGTTTTTGGCATCGAACATTTGTTGCGTCAATTCGGGAACCGTCAGAGCTCGATACTGTTGACTTCCGCGAGAAGTGAGAGGAGCGAAACCGGGCATAAAAAAATGAAGACGAGGGAACGGAACCATGTTCACCGCCAACTTCCGTAAATCTGCATTCAGTTGACCCGGGAATCTCAAGCACGTGGTAACACCGGACATGGTAGCCGACACCAAATGATTCAGGTCACCGTAGGTCGGAGTGGTTAATTTCAGGGTTCTGAAGCAAATGTCGTACAAGGCTTCGTTGTCTATGCTGTAGGTTTCGTCGGTGTTTTCTACCAGTTGATGAACAGAAAGAGTGGCATTGTAAGGCTCCACTACTGTGTCCGATACCTGAAAATATTGTAAAATTAAATTATAGTATTCAATCGATTTTATACTTTAATTATTACATTTTTTCCTTGTTTTTGGTTTAATTTTGATGATAAATTTTTGTGAAAGTTATAATTATTCAAAATATTTTTAATATTTATTTATTTTAATGTGTATTTTTAATTTTTAAAATTAAAAAATTATTCAGAACATGGATACTATAAAATATTACCAATTAACTAGTTTTGTTTAGATTTTTTTTAAAAATAAATAACTCCAAAAGCTTACATTAACTTATAACCAGTTTAATGGAATAAAATAAAATGAAACAACAAACCGGAGAAATAATTAATTTTCTTATTTTGTTCGCTTAAAGCAGTTATAAGTTCGTTTTTATACTGCAATTATTTTTCCACTTAATTTACTAAGCGATGAATTTAAAATTGTTTTATATATGTAAGTACATTATATAAAGTGTAAACTGAAGAAAAGGTGTTAGAATATTTTTATGATTATTGGCGAAATTGAATTTACATATTAAATAACGAATGGCAATATTTTGCGAAATTTACGTGGCATTTCTAGTATTTTTTAAAATTTTAATTGAAAATTTATTCTGAATATTTCCACGCGGATTTTAATTAGCATCAGTTTCGAAGAAAATGCTAGAAATTTTCGTCTTACAAGTTAGTGAGAAAAGAGAGTCGATTAATATAAACGAAATCATTGGATGGAGAAGACAGAAAACCTTACTTTTGGTGAGGGAACGATGCTGAAGGTATTCATGATTCGATCGGGATATTCTTCTCGAATTTTGGTAATGAGAAGCGTTCCCATTCCGGATCCCGTTCCTCCTCCCAGAGAATGCGTCAACTGAAAACCTTGGATGCAATCGCAGCTTTCGGCTTCTTTTCTCACCACGTCCAGAACAGAATCCACCAACTCGGCACCTTCCGTGTAGTGACCTTTCGCCCAATTGTTACCGGCACCACTTTGACCTAAATGTTAAATTTTTATTAAGTAATTCCCGAAAGAGATTAGGGAAATAATTTTTCATTAATTAAACCCACCAAAAACGAAATTATCCGGTCTGAATAATTGACCGAAAGCACCGGACCGAACGGAATCCATTGTTCCCGGTTCTAAATCCACGAGAATAGCTCGAGGCACGTATTTGCCGCCTGTTAAATAGAAATATCGAAGATAAAAACACCGCATACAATATAAAAAGCTATTTTTTGTCTTTAGAAGAACAAACCCGTCGCTTCATTGTAGTACACGTTGATCCTTTCCAACTGCAGATCCGAATCTCCGTGGTAAGTTCCGGTGGGATCGATTCCGTGCTCGTCAGAAATCACCTCCCAAAACTACGTAACAGTAATAATTTATTTACAATTGCCAAATTTCATATATTAGAGGTTAGCTTAATGACATTCATTTAATTAAAAACGTCATTAATTTCGTCTTACCTTAGCGCCAATCTGATTTCCGCATTGTCCCGCTTGTAAATGGACTATTTCTCTCATTTTGTTTATTCGTAGATTAAACAGTAGTAAAATTTCTTAATGTTGAAGATTCAATTCGATTTATTTCTGATCTTCCGTAAGTCAAAAACTAATAACGGACGCTTCTTTTACGCATGCGTATGACTCAAACTTTTCTCAATATTTATGAATTTATTTTTTAAATTCGGATTGAAATCGTCGTGCACCTATTTATTATTTTTAGTAAAGAAAATATATTATTTTTAAAATATTTATTTGAAAGTTTAAGTTTCGAAATCAAAAAGTAAAATTATAAAAAAGAAAATCTTTGATTAGTCGCGCATGCTCTCTTTAATCTTTCAAAATTAATCGCGCGCTTTGCTCGAGTCCGTTAGAAAAGGCGCGAAATGAATCTTTATCTGCGCATGCGTAGGTAGGAACTGCTGTATAATATAATTATATAATAAATTCTTTTACTTAATTAAGGGGTTGAGTAATATGTATATTTGCATGAATCTTTCGCTTGATAAAGGTTATTAAGGGTGAATGTGAATTTTGGGAAAAAAAGTGTAAAAATTTCTTAAAATAATAATGAAAAAGTTAAGACGCTAAAGCAGCCATTTTGCAATTTGTTATTCACCTTTACGCATCTCACGTGATGAAAAAAAAGAAAAAAAAGTAAAACGAGTTTAAAAGCGTCAAAAAGTCTAAAATGGGAACCGTGATTACCAGCATCAGAATCGGTAGATTACCGCCGGCACGGCCTTAAGAGTTTAAATGTTTTGTGTACAGTTTTTATATACTTCGTCTTACGAAAGAAATGAAAATTGATTAAAATTAAAAAGTAATAACAAATAAATGATCAGGAAACAAATCTTAAAAAAATAGAATAAAAATTAGTAGTAGTTTATAGAGGGCGCACAAGTTTATTTCTTATTGTAGTCTGTCGGCTGCAGCGAAACGAAGTTTGAATATACAGATTCAGCCGTCCGCAATAGAGTGGAACCGATACGTTTTAAATTAATAGTTCGTGTGAATTTTATATGATGTATCATGTTTAGTTGAAATCACTTCGTCCGTAGAAATGTTGGAAGCTGGTAATACTCCTGAAAAGTTTAAATTTATGCCTATTTTATATCAAGTAATGAATTTAGCATCCTCTGATATAAATACAGTAGATAATTATTTCTAAAAAATAATAAAATGTGAGAGTTTTGGAAGTTACCGAGATTTATTTAATTAAATCTTATGGTTTTCCTCCTACATCTAATACATTTCCAAATACGACAGTATTTATTGAAATTTATTCCTGTTTTTGTGTATTACGTGTATATATATATACATACACGTAATATAAAGTTGGTAATTATAATGGTAAGATGTAAACTCTGAATGATGGGTTTCCAAATGCCCCCTGTACAGCTCGATTTGAGCTGCAAAACGAGACTGTTGGGACCTTAACGGCGCTGTATGGCATACTTGTACAAGCAAAAAAGTCAAAGGAACCTCTGTTTGACCCTTTGCGAGATACTTCACGAAGGATTAGATGTAAGGTATGCTTCCTTTGACTTTTTTGCTCCTAAGGGTACGATTTACATCTCTGGTAAGGTTCCAACCATCTCATTCAGAGATGTAAGAGAGGAATATATACCTCACAGTTTACTGTTTTAATAAAAGCAAAATAGCTATATGTGAATTACATATGATTTAAAATTTTTTTATTGTAATGAGATTATTTTTTAAAAATGCAATTAGACACTGATTTAATTAAATTTTGTAAGATTTCTGGATCTATTTAAAACCAGCACTCAATGATTTCTTGTTTAAGCTCTAAAACAATCATAAAATGTCTGTTATTAGTATAAATTTTTCAAGCAAGAATGCCCCACAAGTTCTCAATAAGATTAATGTCTGGGCTTCTTGCCAGCCACTTCATAACTTGAATATTATGATCTTCAAACCACTTAGTTGTTGAGCATGAACAATGAACACTGGCATTGTCCTGTTGGAAAATCCAATCAGGTCCTCTAATTTCTTCTCCAATAGGTAATAAATTATTTTTTAGGACTTCTTGATAACTGTTAGATGTCTGTCTATCAGATAAAATCACTAAATTTGGTAAGCCATTAAATGCAAAGCAGCCCCACACCCAGTTGCCTGCTAAAAAATTGCACTCTTCTTTCCTAATATCATGCCAGTAATTAGGCCATACAAATTAAATTTCTTTTTATCATTGAAAAAGACAGATCCATTGGTCATTCCACAGCATCTTTAGCCCACTGTATTCCTGCCAATTTGTGTCATTTTGTTAATGATGGTTTTTTCAACAAAGCATCAAATTTCATATGTGGAGCTATTGAAATTCTTCAATGAATGTGCTTTTTGATATTTTTAATCCATTTTCACACAAAATTTGTGGAACTGATTTATCCTATTGTAATGCAAGCTGCATAATTCAATTATCGTCCCTTTGAGATATGATTTTGGATCTTCCTGATCTGTGTTTAGAAAGTATTGGTAATGATTTTTTTAAAGCTATAAATTCCAGAAGTAGATCTGTTCATTAAAACAGAAATTTCCTTGACACTCCAGCCTTCAGCTTTTAATTTCCACATTCATGCAATTTCTTCCATACTAAACTCTCTTCTATGTGGAATTTTGGAACGTTTTGATTCAGTATTTAAATTACTACTTGACAACAAAGTAGAAGTGTTATGGGATGTCATTTATTTTTATAATTTTAAGTTTCTTATGATTGAAATTTTGCAATTCTGTTTTATTATCTATACTTTTGGGACAGCCAAAAATATATTTTTGTTGTTAAATTATCAAAAATCAGCAAAGATTAATTAATTATGTTAGAATTAAAGTGTAAAGTAATTTGCATATACAAATGAATTCATTTACATTTCTCTTAAATTCCTAACAGTTCTGAAAGGCTATATTGGCCAAAACATATTGTAAATATGTTTTAAAGATTTGCAAGAACAATGAGAAACTTGCCTTCCTAAATGAATGCCAGACCATTGGGTGTGTACCCTGTGTCTACATGGAGAATACACTTCCCTGCTGATTGTACTTTTCTGCTCTCAAAGTTAAGGTTTATCTGTCTGAAAAAAGGTCATTAGACTGGTCAGACATTGTAGATACTCTCTTCTACACCAATTTGTTGTTATGGAGGACTCCCTTTATAACAGCTCTATGGAATTATTAATTGAAGTCAACACATGGGTTGTTGATTGGCCCATCATGATTTTCATGTTTTAAGAGCAGATATGATAACAAGCTCCAAGGAATGGATCTTATGACACCAAAGACTTATGCACTGGACACTCTTAACCCAAGGATTTGTTGGGATGATCTCACCTCTCTGTACTCTGTCTCTTTGATTAACTTTACTAACAAACAACCAACCAGATTCTTATTAGGCATAATTGCCTACCTCAATTAATTAGCCTTAATGTACGAAGGTCATTCTAAAAGTAAAGAATATTTGTTTCTCTAGATAATTTTATTTAAGATAATGAAATAAAACTTATTTTACAACACATATGATACCTTAGCTATTTTTCTATGTAATCGCCATACAAATTTAACATTTGTCACAGCGTATCACCAGCTTTTCTATGCCTTCTGCACACTCAGTTACCGCCAAGTTCTTCAACCAGTCATTAATGGTCTCTTTCAGTTTGTTGTCACTTCCATGATGATTCCCAACCAAAAACTCCTTCAATTTTGAGAAAAGATGGTAATCACTCAGAGCCAAGTCCTGGCTATAAGGAGGATGTTCAAAAACTTCCTACTTAAACTACCGAAGCAAGTTCTTCATTAATGCAGCAGCATGCGGACGTGTGTTATCCTGAAGACGCACAATGCCTCTGGACAACAATCCCCGCCATTTGTTCCGAACTGAAGCTTCATTCATCACATTACCACAAACCTCAGTTATCTGTCTGTAAATTTCAATAGGGCAGACTTTTTTCGCATTCAAAAAGCGTATTACACTACAAACCTCACACTTGGTGGGATCTTTAATTTTGTCACACATTTTAAAGTCACACTATAAACAGTAAACAATTGTTGCAGCTCACTGTTAGCATCAGACTAATACAAAAAAATGGGACGGTCCATGATGTGGCAATTGGGGGTGGTGGGGAGAACTGCACGATTTGTCAGATCAAAACATTCTTTTCTTTTAGAATGACCCTTGTACCTGTGATTTACTATTGTTTTACAGCATAGAGTTTAACCAACTGAATATATGGATGCTATTTTCTTATCCAGGCTACTGTTATAGTTACATTGATTAACATTAAGCACTGTTAATAATAGAAGTTATTTGTAAAATATATACTGTATAGGGAAATTATTTTTTTTTTCATATTAGAGAAGTAGTATGATGAATGTTACATGAAATATAAAGAAAATTAATGTAAATTGTAACATGCTATTTAACATATTCTTTTTATTTGTAATTTTATTAGAAAATTACTATTATTGAAATTTTGTTATCAAACAAGCATATTAAAATATCAATAAGAAAAAGGAAAATTACAAACTGATTATAGGAAATGTTAACTCGTTCGTTTAGATCAGGGGTCACCAAACTTTTTTCACAGTGGGCCGGATAACTGAGAGAATGACGAGCACAGACTGCATAATCATTTTGTTCAATACAGTATACCGAATACACAAAAAATAAAGAAAACCAACATATTTATTTACCAATATACAGGGTGTTTCACAATGTTTTGATGATTTCAAAGTTGAATAACTCACAAACTAATTGCTAAAAAAGTTGAAAATTTTACACAAGGTACAAAATTTATTCAATTTTACTTATGAAATACTACATCGGACAAATGATGACCATTTGTGACTACACAAGACTCGAGGTGTTTCGAGGACACATTTTTCGTAACTGCTGGAGGAATTCTGGAAATTTCATCTTGAATTCGATCTCTTAATTGTTCCAAGCTTCTTGGCTGGTCGGAGTACACTTCCGCCTTCAAATAACCCCATAGATAAAAGTCTGGTCGGTTAAATCAGGTGAGTGAGGTGGCCATTTGAAACGAGTGCATTTGGAAGTTATGGATGTTCTCGGGAGTTTGTACAGTCTTCCTACAGATGGTTGCATTTTTTGCATTATTTGATGCACTGGCAGTTTCACGGAAGTTTTTTTACCCAATTTAGTATTGTTCCATGAGCAGGAATTGGATATTGTGGCTGAATCTTAAAATGTTTATGAAATTCACATTGCACACGCATGACAGATTTGCTGACACAAAAATAGGACTCTACCACGAACACATGATGTTGCTTTGACTAGTATGCCATGATGCTATGTAGTAACCTATATGGGATGAAAGTTGACAGTCTGCACTACTAATAGAGGGTGCCACTGTCACTGTATCTTGGTTTTAATGTGAGTTATTCAACTTTGAAATCGTCAAGACGTTGTGAAACACCCTGTACAAACAAGATTGCTGCATCAAGGCTGTAATCACTTTTCTTAGAAACGTCATTGCAGGTACTTACACAAAAAGTGCTCTAATATCCAAAGTCGCCAAATTTTTCATTTCATTGATTTTCCTAAAAATTATATTATTGTCAAATGCAAAAATTAGATTGGACTAATTTTGGCACTTTTACTTACATTTATTTTAATTTTTTCTACATAGTAAGTTCATCTACAATCTATGATATTTCCATATAAATAATTATATTTTAGCTCATTTGTGGCACAGTGCAGCGGCGGGCCTGATAAACTGACCTCGCAGGCCATAGTTTGGTGATCCCTGGTTTAGATCAAAGTGCCTCCATGCAATTAGAGAAGAATAGACCAAGAACAACTCTAATCTGGTCAATATGACTTTGCTTTTATAGTAACACGTTTTTGGGTTTCATCTTACCCATGGACTACCTTTTTTTTCCCTTTTATTTCATAAAATATGGCTGGGTTTTTGGATTGCAAGATTGGGCTACAAGGATTGTAGCAGATTGAGATATATGTAGGGCTCTAAGCTGCTACTTTTTAGGCCATTTTAAAAATAATTTGGGCTACATTTCCAGGAATTCTGCTTTACTTTTTATAAAATTTATTTGGTGACCTGTTGGGTTATCACCAGACAGGTGCTGTTT